ATAGATTTGGAGATTGCTCATTTCCTTCTCTTAATAACTTCTACTTTGACATTGTTGTATTAGCAAAGCACATCCTGAGGGGCTGGAGATGCAGCTTACAGGACAGGGTGCTCACCTAGCACATGTAAAGCCACTCCCTCTCCCAGCACCACATAAGCCAGGTGTGGCAGGCATATGCCTGCAATCCCAGCACCAGGAGGTAGAGGCAGGAGGATCAGGAGTTCAAGATCATCCTCAGCGACATAGTGAGTTTGAGGCTAGCCTGGGCTACATGAAACCTGTATAAATAGATAAACATATCCTACAAGACATCCTTTCTTTGGTGTTTGTCACACTGTGTTTTGTGATCCCTGAGAGTCTGTCCATCTTGTTGAGAAGTCCATGAGTACTTGAAGAAAAATGAGAACATCCCTGTGCTACTGGGAAGTGTCAGTCGGTGACCCTGGCTGGTGGAGTCCTTCACCCTAGCTGGTTTCCTGCCTACTTCTGTCATTGATGCGCTGATCGATATCCCCAACTTTAATTGCAGATTCCCTGTTTTTCTTTTCGGGTTCTATCCATTCTTGCTTCGTGTGGAGGCTGTGATGGGTAGGTGCTATGAAGGACTGGGGTCTCTTGCTAGTTCATCAATCCTCTCAGCACTATATGATATTTCTCAGTAGAAATATTTACTCTGATGTCTATTTTACCAGCAATAAATAGAATTCTCTTTCTTTTTTGTTTGGTTTAGACACAGGGCTTCACTGTGTAGCTATGACTGAACTGGAACTCACTATCTAAACCAGGCAGGCATTGAATTCACAAAGATAAAGCTGCTTCTGAGTGCTGGGATTAAAGGAGTGACCACCACACCTGGCTCCTTATTTCTTATTTTTTTTTTAAAGATTTAAATTATGTGTGTGTGAGTGTGTGTGGGCACACACTGCTCGTGCATATACACTCAAGTGTGCCACGTGTGAGTACAGCGCCCATAGAAGCCTTCAGATCCACTGGTGCTGGGAACTGAACCCCAGTCCTCTACAAGACCAGCCAGTGTTCTGAGCCACTGTGCCACCTCTCCAACCCCTTCTTCCCTCTCTCCTGTTTCTGCTTCATTGTTGAACTTGCCTGGACACTCTTACTTTAATACCCCACTCTTTCTGCTTGTACTCAGTGATTCCCATTTGCTTCTTTCTTGTGTCTCCAATTTCACCGCTACGGCTTCTTTTCTTTTGTTTGGGGAGTCTCATTGATTCCTGAACGCCAGCTTTAGGACAGATGCTTACAATCCTTTCTCATGATTCTGACAGCTCTATCCTCTTGTATTGTCTTGGTGTCACCATCAGGGAACTGGTTTTCCTCGTCTGCTTGGGTGTGGTCGTGGCATGGCAGTGATCCTGATTTTTAACATTTATGATTTGTCTTAAAGGTTGGCAGCCCTGGTCTTAATCCACATTTTTTCTTTCGGCAGACAAGTGCCCTGCTAGAGTTTAGCATGTCTTGGCCTGCTTATAGACTGTGAGTTGTAGTGATATTTCATTTGTATTTTAATAAATAAAGCTTGCCTGAAGTTCAGAGAGTAAAACAGCTGCAACTTTCTGATCTTCGGGCAAGCTTTATTTAATAAAATACAAATGAAATATCACTACAGTGGGTCCAATGACTGTTTAACTTTCGTAACTTTATGGTTTGGTTTTTCTGGACTTGTCTAATTGAGTAAAAGGAATTTTTCCTTCAGGCCAGACTGGCAAGCATGCTTTTGAAGGGTCTGGACATATTAGGATGTCCTTATTAGTAGAGACGGGCACTCCAGTGTTGCTGGGCAGGAAAAGAGTATCTCCAATCCTTGGAGGGCAAGGGTCTTCCAAGATCAGGTTTCTTTCTGGGTCCTTCACCTGCTTACATACCTTTACACCATATTAGTTGACTCTCACTGCTGTATCAAATGACCACAGACTTATTAGATTAGAGCAATAGTTTTCTTTTACACCCTTGAAAGTGAGGATTCTGAAAAGAGTCCCACTAGCTAAAAGTGATGGCTGGAGCTCCCCGGGGAACGTCAGATAGCTCTGTTGTTTCATTGACTTTCTCTTTACCCACTGACCCTTTCATCTCCAAGGCCAACAGGGAATGGGTGAGTCTCTCCCAGGCTACACCTCTATGACCTCTTCCTCCCTGCTACCCCCTCTCACTTAGAGCCCACATGATAATGCTGAGTCCATCTCATCTCCAGTCAGCAATAGCAACCCAATCCGCTTGCCCTTGACCTATGAGCTGGTTGCTTGCTATTTGTGTTGTCTTGATAAAAACAGAATAACATAGATTGGATGGTCTATAATGAAGCAGATCTTGCATGATTTCCTGGTTCAGGAACCTGGGAGTCCAAGATCAAGGGACCATCAATAGAGGAAGGCATTCTTGTTGGGTGTTGTCATCGCAGAAGGCATCCAATGGGCTAAAGAGACATAAAAGGGAACCAAACTCCCTTTCATAATTAAACTTTTCCCACAATAGCAGCATTAATTGGTTTTTCAGGTCAAAGCCTTCTTGGGCTAATCACTTCCTCCCAAATATGGTTCCACTGTGGATTGATCTTCAGAAAATTGCTTTTGGGGAAACACACTCAGACCACAGCTAAAGGTGACAATTTGGACATGAGTAGCAGTGGGAGCATTATTCTTCCTACCTCATATACCCTTAATCTCTAGCTACTTCCTCCCTATGGTAACCTAGCAGCTCGCTGAGTGATGTGAGTTCTAGAAGGTTAATGGCATACACAGACTGAATCACCTTGCCATGTCCTGTCATCTGTAACAAGTACAAAGTAGCAACAGCCATCTGTGGGAAGAAAAATACAAATGTAATTTAGAGGATCTCTGAACTATAGATCTCTAATTTAATCAAAGCCATTATTTAGATCCCATTCCTTTATATTAATGTACATTAAATGTAGAAATTAATGGGCTTTGTTGTGACATTTTTGTGCCAGTTCCTACTGTACTTTGATCCCCGCCATCCTCCCCATTACCCTCCTTGTCCACCTGAACACTAATCTCACTGGACCCCTTTTTCTTCTTAAATATCCCCTTTTATTTAATGTCCTTTACTAAGCCTCAAATTTCACAAATGTCTTTTTGAATTTGGCTTGTTTTATTTAACAATATACTTTCCTGTTCCATCCATTTCCTGAGAACAAAACACTTCACTGTTATCCATAGATGAAAAATACACTATTGTGTATATACCACAGTTTCTTTAACCATTTATTCAGTGATTGGCAGCTAAGGTTACCCCATGGCTTGTTTATTGTGGGTAGTATCTAGTGTGGCGATCAACACGGATGTTCAGAGGCCCTGGTTAGTTTCTATTGTCGACGTGATGCAACCTAGAGATACCCGAGAAGCAAGACCCTCAAATGAAGAGTTGCCTCCATCACATTAGCCTCTGGCACATCTGTGAGGAATCACATATTACAATGGTCGATGTGGGAGGGTCTGGCCCACTATGGGTAGTGTCAAGCCCTAGGCAGGTGGCCCTGGGTTGTAGGAAAAGGAAAGAAAGCTGAGAGAGGCATGGACTGACAGCCAGTAAGCAGCACTCCCGAGTTCCTGCCTTGAATGTCCCTCAGTAACAGATTAGTACCGGAAAATGTAAAATGAGGTAAACTCTTTCCTCCCCAAGTTAGAGGCCATGATGAGCGTATTTTTCTTGTATTTATTGGCTATTTGTGCTTCATCCTTTGAAAACTCTCTCCTTCTTCATTGCTCATAGAAAATATTAGATGTTTTCTCTTATGAGATGCGTGTATTTGCGCGTGCGTACGTGTGCTCGCGCGTGCACTCTCCAGGTCAATTTCATTAGCCTTAAAAAAAAATCCCCAGGGCTGTAAATCTCAGCAGGTGCCTGGGGAAGGACAATGAAGAGGGAAATGAGGAAAATATGTCACTTGAATTAAAACCATTGAGTCCAAGCACATGTTGGAAGTCACAGTGGCAGGAGGCCACATAAGGGCAGAGACAGAGTAAGACTCAAAGTGTGAGGTTTGGAAACATGCTTAGAAAAGAAATATAATGAAACAAAGAAGTGGACAGGCTTACAAAGCTGTTGTAAGTCGCTAAGCTCTGAATATATATATACACATATATGTGTGAAAATGTAAGACATGAAAGTAGAAGGGAATTATTTGGGAAGAGGGAGAGGATGGACAGGGACAGGGGTTGAGGCCGGGAAGGATCATTTTGAAGTTCTGAAGAACCATTAAAATACCCTCTGTAATTCGCAAGTAAATTTTATATTTACCTATATCCAGTATTCTGTCTGCCCATATTTCAAAAATGAAACTACCTCATCTATTTCATCCTGTTTTATTGCGTTTGATCTAATAAATTCCTCGTAACCAGAAACGCTGGTGAATCTTAAAGGCATTTAAAATATAACTGGTCGACAGCGGATTTGTCACAAGTTTACCCCGACTTTGGAAGCAGGCCCAGGACCTAATTTTTCCTCGCTCTTTGCAAAGGATCCATAATTCATGATTACCGTTGACTTCAATACAAGGTATTTAATCCTGTCAACTTCCAGCGTTGTTTGAATAAAAATGGCCCTCCTCTAATTATGGGTTTTGATAAAGCTAATTTTGGTGTGTTGTCCAGTGGGTTGCCTCAGCGAAGCTGGCAACATTTCTGATATGAAGAATGGCTTAAAGATAACCAAGGGAGAGATGGGAGCTAGGGGAAAAAAAAAAAAACCTGCAAGTGAGTTGGTGACTCAGAAACCGGAGACTTTTTTCAGAAAAAGAAGAAAAAAAAAGATACAAGAAGTGAGTTGCTTGGGCAAGAGTGTGACTCAAGTAATCGGGAAGTTGAGTGGGGACTTTATTTTGGGTCTCCAGATGGCTGTATGAGCAGCTTTTTAGGACCTGGGTACTGGACGCTTCTGTGGGTAACTAGGGAGGAAACCGGCCAACGAGGGATTCTATGACATAGCAGAGCCTTGGTGATGTCACAAAGCCGTGGGTGGGGTTGCGCATCTGCTCCACTAGGGGCGCTAGACTCCCTTGAAGGTGCGCTCACTATCTTCGCAGGGCTGTTGAGGCCAGTTGGGCTCCCGAGCCCCACGGTTGTTCAACAGGTTTTTGGCGCCTGAACGAGTCCAGAAGACAGAATCTGGACAACTAGGACATTTTCTTTTGGTAAGTATGTTTATGAAGCAACTAGGACCTCTGTAGTCCCAGAAAGTTAAAAGTTTTCCTTCAAAACTCCTGGGGGTCCAACTTGTATGTTGTTACTGGCTGCCATGTTTGATAGCTGCGGGGATGGTCTAGGCCAGCCATTCTTCCGAGTTTATTATCTTTGCTAACAATATCAAATTCATCATTCCACGAAAATGCCAAACTCCTCTTTGTCCATATGTGTTTTAGAAGACACTAATTATTTCTAAATGGTTGCTGTTGCCTAGACTAACGCGTCTTTCTTGTTGCGGTGGGTCTCGCGGTACTCACTTCTGTAATGGAAGACACAGAAAGGCTTTATGTAATAAACCTGAGTCTATATCAGGAGACACCATACAGAGAGCCAGTGGACAGGAGTGCCATTATCTTGGACAGGTGTTTATGGGTGCAGCCACCTAGCTCATGGCTTGAGGGTGAAGGAGAGGTGGTGTGGCCATCCTTCTGACATCTTTGCCATTCTGTTCTGATTTTGTTTACTCACTTTGTGGATAGGCATACTTCCTCTCCTCATTGACCTTGTCAGTCAGGGAGTAGGTTTCCTAGCAGAGGCGAATTGCCTCTGGGCAGCAGAAATGTGTCTCTGAGTCTGTTAAACTGAGCTGTAGAGAATCATTTGTTAATTTTCCTATTAATTTCTTATGACAAAATTAGATTTAGATAGCCAAACCTGTTTAGTGCTGCCTTCGCCACCTGCCCCAAAGTTCTCCCAGAAAAGAGCCTTGGCCTCACCTCTTCCCCTTCTTGCAGGCACTCATGGTGGAGGCAACGACTTGGTGTCTAGTTTAAACAGACAAGTTCTTCCAACCCAGAGAGTGGGCAGCTATGAAGCCCAAGCACAGAAAGATAGCCACAGGACAGTGGACCAGGAGGGCTGTGGCCTACCGCACTAGGTTTACAGCCATGATGAAGATGCCTCTGAGTATGAGAGGCGTGCCACCTCTCCAGAAGAGGGACGGGCCATCTCTCCAGAAGCAGAACCCGGGCAGGCCTTTAGAGGCCCTGGAGAACATTGTCGGCTGCAGAATTTCTCATGGATGGAAAGAAGGCAATGAGCCAGTCACCCAGTGGAACGCCATCGTTCTAGATCAACTGCCAACAAATCCTTCTCTCTATTTGGTGAAGTATGATGGGGTCGATTGTGTCTACGGATTAGAGCTTCACCGCGATGAAAGGATTTTACAGCTGAAGATCCTGCCTAATAAAGTGACATTTCCTCAGGCGACAGACCCCCACCTCACAAACAGCATAGTTGGCAGAGCAGTGAAACATGAATTCGAGGGCACAAATGGCTCGAAGGATGAGTGGAAAGGGATCGTCCTAGACGAGGTGCCGATCATGAAGACCTGGTTCTACGTTACCTACGACAAAGATCCGGTCTTGTACATTTACCACCTCCTGGATGACTACATTGAAGGCAAACTCCACATCATGCCAGAGCATCCTCCAGTAGACGTGACACCAGAAGTAGGCAGGGATGTCATGATAGGCAAGTGTGTGCACTACAACAAAAGTGACGGAACCATAAAGACAGGCAAAATCATTTACCAGGTTCCCACCAAACCTTCCATGTATTTCATCAAGTTTGATCACGACACCCTTATCTATGTCTATGATTTGGGGAAGATCCGTTAAAGTGAAATTCACAAAGTGTGGAGCAGCAGGCATGAAATTGTGTTTGGGGGAAAGATTCTTTTTTTTTTTTCAGAGATACCTAAGGTCCTGTAATAACCCCAGCATCTTTTCCAATGGAATTTGTCTTGCTCTAAAAATAAAAATTTGTGAACATGCTGTGTTCTTTGGTAAATAGAGATTAGGTGTGTCTGGTGGATGGGACATCAAAGGAAGACACGTATCAGCTCAGGCTGTGAATAGTACATCTAGTTCACAGTAGGTTCAAAACAGAACCGGACTTAGATGGTCTGGTCTGCTGGGAGAGGAAGAAACTGGAGCTGGGTGGGGAGAGGACAAGATGGCTGTTCCGGAAGCAGTGGAGAGGGCCAGAAGGAGGTAGGATCTCGGGGAGGGGTAAAGCTTGAGGGAGAAGCATGTGATAGGGAAAGGTGTGCGAGGTAACAGAGTGAGGTCTTGAGACTTAAGGGGAAACAGAGTGGATTGATCAGGGAGGGACACAAATGTAGACTCAGAATCAGAGAAAATTAGGTTTCATTTGATTAATGGTTATAAAGTAAGTCATCTTATCTTTTAAGAGTTACTGTTTTTAATTGTGTTGATGGGGCAGGGTATGTGTATGTGAGTACAGTGACCACACAGGCCAGAGGAGCCAGGTCCTTCAGAGCTGGAGTCATGGGTGGTTGTGAGCTGTTGGACACAGTTGTAGGGAAACAAGGTCGGGTCCTCTGTGAGAACAGAAAGGGCTCCTCACCACTGAGCCATCTCTCCGGCCCCCAAAAGTCGTCATTTAAATGAACCCAATACTCGCAGACAGAGAAGAGAGCAGAATAAAGGTAAGAAAGACGGAATTGAGAGTGCTCTGGAGAGGGCGAAAGGACTCATAAAGAAGGAGTAGAGGACGCTGAGGACAAGGGAATTCCAAGATAAAATGATTAAAGGAGTTCTCAAAATTTGGGAGAAGGGGTGTGAAACGGGACCCAGGAAGAACAGGAAGGTTCTGGAAAGAGATGAACTTGAACTATATCCATATTGGCTTTCTTGACTCTTTAACACAGAACCTGTCTGCCACTTAAGAAGGCGGGCACGGGTTAAGCGTTTCCCAAAGGATATTTTGACCAGAATAACTCGGACTAGTGAATCCAAAGCTAAGTTTATGTCTACGAGACTCCTGAAAACATACAAAAAACACCACTGTTTTATATAATTACTAAAATAAAAAAAATTTTAAAGAGAAAAGGAACGCCTGGTGAACTGCTTGACCGTGTTAAGTGGATCTGGTGCTGCCTCTCTGAGCACCATTTGCCTCGGTTACAGCCTGTGATCTTCCTGAGGTCTCTGTTGGATACCCCAGATGACCACCAAGAAGCTTCCAGCCCAGGCAGTTCTGCCTCACTCCTCCCCCATCTGTGTGACTTCCTGCACATCTACGGTCCTTTCTGCCTATTGGTCTCCAGGCAGTTCCCTTTCCCTGCACACGTGTGACCTTGCTCCCAGCAAATACTGAAGGCGCTGCGAGTGCAGATGTGCTGAGCTCTTTCCTACGCCAGTTTTCATGACTTTCAAGTACTATCTCCTCCTGAGAAGGCCCTGTGCTGCATGGGGTCTCTCTGGGCTCACTTCTGCACTCCAAGAATGACTTTTGAGAGACAGGCTTGTCATGGATAGACTGGTTCACTGCCATTTCTGCTTACTAGAATAAGTTTACATGATGCAGGAGTGAAAAATACTTTTTTAATTATCGATTCATCCTGTTATTATTTGGGAGGCTTTTTTATAGAGAGAAAATGTCAGGTAGAGTCACAGTTGTTCATCCCATAGCCACAACTAAAAACCAGCTAGACACTTCATTTTAATTTAAAGTTAAGATGTGTGCATGCTCTGCCTGTTATGTAGTAGTCTTAGTTTGATTCTTTTCTCACTGTGATGAACACCATGACCAAAAATAACTTGGGAAGGAAAGGGTTTATTTGGGTTACAATTTACAAGCCATCAATGAGAGAAGCCATGGCAGGAGCTTGAGGCAGTTAACCAGAAAGAACGGTGCTTGTTGGCTTGCTCCCTGCCTTAGCCACTGGTCTATGGCTGTGAAGAGACACCATGACCAAGACAACTATTATAAAAGAAAGCATTTAATTGGGGGTTGGCTTACAGTTTTAGAGGTTTGGTTCATCATCATCACAGCAGGGAGCATGGTGGCATACTTGGTGCTGAAGCAAAAGCCAAGAACTACATCCTGCTCCACAGACAGAAGGACTGAGGCGTGGCATGGGCTTTTGAAATCTCAAAGCCACCCCTCTGTGACACACTTTCTCCAATAAAACCACACCTCCTCCTGATCCTTCTAATCCTTGAAAAACCGCCTCTCCCTGGTGACTAAATATTAAAATATAAGAGTCTATGAGGGCCCTTCTTACTCAAACCACCACAGATACCATGGCTTGCTCAGTAACTTTTCTTATACAGACCAGCCTGCCCCCAACCATGATGGCCTTGCCCACAGTGATGGGCCCTCCTACATCAATCATTAATCAAGAAAATGTCCCATAGACTCACTAAGAGGCCAATTTAGCAGAGGCAGATCTTCATCTGAGGTTCTCTTCTCAGGGCACTCTAGATTGCCAAGTTGACAAAAACCAACTGCACAATAATGCTTACCGTCCCCCATGTCACATTTCTGCACCGTCTCCACACACACACTCATCTATGACTAACCCCCATCTGTCTTTGCATAGGTCCACTTCCCTGTGTGGCAGAAGCGAGGGGTAGCTACTGTCAGCAATGTGAGTACCCAATGGTGTGTGATGGATAAGTTCTACACCCTCCCATCCCATTCTATGCATTCTACACTTTCTGGGTGACTCCCCAACACAATTAGTTCCCAGTTGGCCACTGGGAATTTAATGGGTCACAGTAGACCACAGAACCAAGCAGATGGAACCTATTTCCTCTCTTCTCAATAGGAGACATGGCCCTTTCCCAAAGCCTGTGGGCCTGTCCCTATCTCACACTCAACCATCCCAAAATGTAGAAAGCAAGTCTTGCACAGGTTCTATGCCTCAGCTGCACAAATCTTTGTAGCTTTCACAATAGCGCTTTGTGAAACTCAACCCCTTCCAGGAGCACAACCCTTGGTTATCCCAGAGAACATTCAGAACCACACACTCTCTCCATATTTGTCCTCAGTCAACTGTCCAACTGCCAGTCAACTCAACAACGACCAGTAAACCCCCATTGGGAAATCCAATACATGTGACTTGATTTTTAGGGAACGGAATGCCCCCCCTTCATGGCTACCCTGGAGTCTGACTCATCTGTAATAAAACTCACTACTATTAAGAGCAACATCACAAGAGCTATGACAAATATCAAGTCACAAGACAACCATCACAGTTAGCCAAACCTTTTCAACAGCTTTATCGAAGCATAATTTCCATGCTAAAAAAATCCATTTATTTTAAGTGTGTGATTTAATGATTTTTAAAGCAAATTTACAGCTTCCTTCCTTTTTATACTCATTTCCCACTAATTCATATGATATTGAAGTCTATTAAAATACAGAAGTGAAGTCGGGGGAAAGATCAGAGTGGGAAGCAACAAGGCTCCTGTTGTCACTCAGACAACAGATCTACTGGTGAAATCTTCCTGATGTAACCACGTGAGAACACTGGATCTGCTCTTAACTTGCAGCTTTCAGACAAAAAGCTTAAAAGATTAAGCCATGGTTCTTCCTGCATCAAGTCCAGATCTGACCTGATTTGGTCAGCATCACTAATGGCCACATTTATGTCGGTCACCCCTTTAGTACTAAAACAAAATATCTGGCAACTTAAAAAGAAAATGGACTTACTTTGGTTTACATTTTCAGAGATCTTGGTCCATGGTTACGTGGACCATGGAATGGGGCATGATGGAGCACACCTGCTCACTTCATTGGCAGCCAGAAAACAAACACAGGAAGGGACCAAGGGCAAGAAATACCCTCCAAAGCCGCATCCCAAGTGACCAACTCCCTCAACAAGCCCCTATCTCCTACTTTCCCCCACCTCCAAACACCATTGATTAGAACCCTCAGAGTTCAATCACTTCTCAGCCCCACCTTTGAACATTATTCCAACATACAAACCTGTGGGGGACATTTCAAACCCAAATCACAACCATATCTGTCATATAAAACCCAGAGATGGGACCCCTCTGATCTCTGCAAGGGCCTCTCTGTCCAGGAGTTGTTAAAGGGTAGTGCCCAGGGCAACAACATCAGAAACACCCAGGAGCTTTTGGAGATACAAGTTCAGGGTCTTGACTCCCATCCATGTATCATAAACCTGTAGGGCGGGCTAGCAGGTTGGCTCAGAAGTCTCAACTTGGCCTCACAGTAGAAGGAGCTGGGAAGATTTCTAACAAAGAAATGTGTTTCCCTGCACAAAACCAAGCTGGTCAGCACTCCATCATGGAGTCAGGAGGGCCTCACCATCCCTCACCCCTAACTGAGGAGTATGGACACTTGATGCGAGAGGGGATTTTCTTCAAATGTGTGGCTGGTGCTAGATTGACCCTGCTCCAGTAGATAGCCCAGTGCCCGCAAGTTTATGGGCAACACAAATCACTCAGTGGTTTAATATGGAAAAGAGAAATGGAGATGTGAAGTTGGGAGGGAGTAGGATGGATCTGGGAGGAGTTAGGAAGAGAAGCGGGGAGTGATGCAATTCAAATGTGTTGTATGAAGTTCTCCAGGAATTAATAAAAGTAGATTTTAAAACACTGCATCTGTACTGAACACACACAGATCATTTTTCTTGTCGTTTCCTAAACAACAGCTCCTTGCAGGGCAATTGCATTGCATTAAATAAAAAAAGTAATATGGTGGTTATTTAAGATGCAGGATGATCTTGGGAATCACCAGGAGTAAAGTGTTTGCTGCATAAGCATGAGGACCCACATAAAAAGCCCAGTGTGTGGTCACACCGGCATCTATAACTCCAGTGCTAAGGGAGGCAGACACAGGAGGATCACGGGGGGTTGTTGGCAGCCAGGCTAGCTCCAAGTTCAGCAAGAGCCCCTGCCATAGGTGTCATAAAGTGGAGAGTGAAGGAGCAGTACACGTCATGTTGTTTCCCCCTTTCAGCCCCTGCATTCACTGTACAAGTCTATGTGCACACAT